CCGATTTTTGCCCAAACCATCATCTTCTTCCTCATGGTTTTCCATGAATTTAAGTGTGGGGATTTCCTAGGGCCTCTCCAATCTTAGATTTTATGGCAATTACTTGGCTTGGAAACTTTAGATTTGATCTTCTTAAGGTAAGAGCTTCACATTAATGCAAAAATTTTTTATTTTCACCATCGATTCATCTCACATTGCTCAAGTGTTGAAATTTTGAATTTTAGGAAGAAATGAGTGATGAGTCAATTGTGGAAGGATTCTTTACTTAGAAAAATGTTGTTGGAAGCTTAAGAATATTATTAGAATTTATGTGTAAATTTTCTTAAATTTTTATAGAGAATGACTCCTAAGACTAAGAGGAGAAAGGGTAAGGAAGTGTTTGATTCGAAGAAGTTTGTGTGTTTGAAGGCTCAAGACAGCTATAATGAGTCCATCAAATCATCGAAGTTGATTCCAGAATGTGCTTTTCTTAGTTTAGGTGGTTCAGTAGAGAGCCTAATTATTGAGCACTAGTGGGAGAGCTTCTGTTACTTTTCTGTTACAGTAGTAATTTCTATTGTCAGGGAGTTCTGTGCAAATCTCCCTGATATTGAGGATGATTGTGTATATGTCAGGGTCATCAATATTCTTTGATTTGAACCGGATCAAGGCTTTTTATGGATTAAGTGACGTAACAAATTGTTTCTTTTCCACTTTTACACCTTTTCATGTTGAGCTGGATGAGTTCATTACATTTCTGACCGATGGAAAGGGAGCTTGGAAGTTCCTAATGACCAGAAGGTAAACTTTTCTTCTTCTAAGCTGATTTTCCCTTCTAAAGCCTGACATTATTTTATTTCTATGCTTCTATTACCTTCGAACCACCTTAGTGAAGAAACTAAGGATAGGGATGCTCTGAACTACTGATTCAAATGCAAAAGACTATCAATGTTAGTTCTTTAATTTATCGGAATATCACCAATTTTGCTCGAGCTAGCACGAATGCAAGGTTAGGTTTCCCATCCCTTACTTTTCACTTTATGCCAGCAGTCTGGTGTTGTATATGAAAATTGGGAAGAGCTATTACAACCTCTTAAACTAATTACCAGGACCAATGTACATGTATAAGAACTGCATGTTGGATTGAGATCTTGGGGTGGAAGTTTAGATATTCCTTCTACCTCCACTTACAGACCATCTACCTCAATCACTGTAGCTCAATATTCAACCACTCTAGATGATCTTCACAATGATTATCAGGCACTGGTGAATGATATTGCAGATATACAAAGTAAAGTGACTGATATTGAAGATAAGGCTGATCATGTTCAAGGATATCTCAAACTCAAACATGATTATGATTTGAGTTTCAATATATCTCTAATGAGTTTTCTTTGAGGAGATCATGATGTTCAATTTCCATTGAATCCTCCATTTTCGGTCTATCAACCACAAAGTCATATGAATGAGGATGAGGAGACATATGATGAGACAAATGAAGATAATGGTGAGGAATAGTATCTTTGTTATGTTTGTTATGTGTTAAGTTTCTT